AGAGAGAGAGAGAGAGAGAGAGAGAGAGAGAGAGAGAGAGAGAGAGAGAGAGAGAGACGACGACGGAACACCCCAAAAATTGCTGGTTGCTTCATAGAATCAGATATAAATGCCGCATATAATATCTTCACTCGAGACAATGGCCGACCTCCTCTTTGGCGATGCGAAACGCATCGCATCGTTCACTCGTCGTTCATCATGTGTCGATACCAATGTGCCGGGACTAATGCCTGTATTTAATATTAACAAATTAAATGCACATAACCAGCGATTTCACTTATTAATGCATGCTCGCACCGTCTTTTTTGCTCTCTCCCTCTCTCTCTCTCTATTACTCTTTCCCCCCTCTCTCTCTCTCTCTCTCTCTCTCTCTATTACTCTTTCCCTCTTGCTTTTGCTTTCTCTTACACTCTTCTTCCCGTGCAAGCTCTTCCTTTCTCTACGTCTTCTGCATTGTTCGACGGATAGGGAATTTATAGCATAAAATTGGCACATTTTGAAGTGGTTTTTCCATTTAACACATGCAGAACGACACATCTTTACATTTGAATCACCGAACCATTGCACATACTGTTCCCCTTTAACTCACTTAGCTCATACTTTGACTCTTTCTCCCGCCGAAAAAGTAGAGTTCTCTTCGCCGCATCCACAACGAAATTTTTATCTGATGCACTTTATCTAAAATAACAAATCATTAACCAATTTGTGAAATTTCGTTTGTGGTTTGCTGGCTCTGGTACAGCAAACATATTTGGCAGCTGTGTGTGTGTGTGTGTGTGTGTGTATTGCAGCAGGGGGAGCGATTGATTTTCGACTCGGTTTCAATTAATATCTCATCTTCAGGCCGTTTGATGTTAATGGATCTATCTTATGATTTTTATTTTCCAAAAGCAAATCATATTACGTCTTTTGATGTCATTTTCCCCCTTTAAAAACAACCGAAAATTTGGCCACTAATAGATACACAATGAAATCAATATTTTTTTTGGTTATTGTTGTGTTGAAGTCAGTACTACTCTGAGTCAGTAAGTTGGGTTTGTCTTTCTCGCATAAATTGTCGGTAGTCTGGGCATTGCTGGGTGGCTCACATATTTTTCGACAGGGTGAGGTGGTTTGTTGTTGCAAATTGGATACCAATAAACTCTCTAACGTCATTTCAAATTGGTTACAGAGTTTGGTTTTGCAACAAAAACAAAGAGACGAAATGCTTTGGCTAGAGAGAGAGAGAGAGAGAGAGAGAGAGAGAGAGAGAGAGAGAGTGTGATGGTCGTTAGTATTTGAGGAGACCTGGTATCGTTGCCCATTCGTCATAAGCCGAAGTGCACTGTTTTTCGCTTTGAAAGACCGACGAATTTGACTATGAATATTCAAAACACTTATTTATAACTCCGCTATTTGGTGTCTTTCTTCATGAAGTCACATTTTTTACGGAAAACATTTGAATTCCATTCGCTTTTTGGCCATTCTCCCGATGGAATGCCATTCATTTCAGCAAAATCTTTTTCAAATAATTCATTTAGCCCAAAGTTTTTATTTGGACGGGAAAAATCATGTTCACAATCGCTGGTGTGTTCTAAGCCATTATCTAGTGACAAGGACAAAACAATATGCGAAAAATAAAAATCAAAAATAACAAAAAAACAAACCTGTTCATTGCTCGAAATTGATCGTCAACGACACAAACTAAAACGAAAAATAATCATCATAATTTGAACCAGATCAATTGAACTTATTATATTTTGCGAGCAAGAGAGCGAAGAAAATAAAAAAAAACAACACTCTATTTCAATTGCCTTTAAATCAGTCGGGACGCATGGTCGCACAAACATTCATTTGGCCTGTCAATTTCAAGTCGATCATGTGTTCGATTCAAATGGATTTGTTTTTAGCACTACATGAAATATAGAGCTACTAATCTGCTTTTTTTTTCTAGATACTTTTTGAGTGATGAAAAAAATTATGGTGAATTTGAATTTTATGCTCATATTTTTTGTTTAATTTAAAACAGTGGCAGTAACGACAAATAAGTGCATAATATTCCAAAACGCCAATCAAATTTTTATTATCAAATGTTGTTTAAACATTACATTAATTTTTTGTATAGTATTTTTCTGAGTCTTGAACAGAATTGAAGTGATTTTAGATTCTATGCTCATATTATTTATTCAATTCAAACCAAAGGCAGTATATTTAAAAAAAGAAATAAAAGCAAGATCTTGTAATTCATTTTTGAATTAACTGAGAATCTTTTTTCTGTACTTTGTTGCAAATAAATATTTTACTTCAAAGTTACTTTGATGAAATACATTTCATGTAGTGCGCCAAAAAATAGTTTGTTGTGAAACAACAAAATAGAATAAGTAACTAAAAACTCAAGAACTCGGTCTTGTTTGTTTCTGTGTAGGTCCGTTTGTTTGAACCTCTTTCGAAAAAAAAGAATTGTTTCATTGTATGTGCAATTTAATTGAATTCTAAACATGAGAAATTTTGTCGTTTTATTGACGAGACACAATCATGACGATTGGCAAATATTCGTCGATCCATAAACGAAAATGTAGTAGACGTGTGTCATCCAATTGATAGAATGGGCTAGAGCGGCGAAAGGATGAGAGCGCGAACGAATGAGAGAGCAATAGAGAGACGAAAAGAGAGAATAGTTGCCATTAAAGAGAGACAACGACGAAAAGAATAAAAATTATGCCTCGATCCAAGTAGAGAGAATGAGCTTGATTTATTCAAGAGGCGGCTAAGCATATAATTACAGCATATGTAGAAAATATGCGTCTACGAACAATTATTTGTAATTATTCTTTCTGCATTTGTTGCATTCTTTGCATGCGGTTTTGAGGGGCCCTTACTTTTCACACGAAAAAAAAGCGGACACACAAACACAAACTGTTTCGCAGTCGCGCTCGTCCCGCATAATGCATTTTCTGTCTCTCTTTCTGTGTCTTTGTTTCTCTATCCAAAAATTTCGTTACCATTTCTGTAGAAGCGGCATAAAGAAAAATACCGGTGCTTTACTATTGTTTCATGTTTTCTTCTCGCTGAAAAGTACAACGTGTCGAGCACAGAGTGTTCGAGAACCTATTTTTCGTACATTTTTGACGAGTTGAGTTGTGTGAATTTTGACGAATTTGTAAGGCCGTGTGTGGCACACGGGCAACTCGGATGAGTGAGTGAGTGATTGTTTTGTTAAATGAGAGTTGGCAAAACCTCGGTGACGTTCAAATGTGTTGAACATTGTCGAATCGTTGGGCTCTCAGTGGCATGATATTTTTCATACGTATACACACGTTGAGTCGTTTGTTTTAGTTTTTTTTTTCATTTCTGCTGTGGTCGGCTTTTGTTATGTGTGTGTGTTGTTGTTGGTGCATGTGTTACTGATGTTGGTTTGTTGTTTTTGTTGTTCGTTGAAAACCGTTCGCATGGTACGCTGCTGTGCTCTTTTCCGTTCATTTGTGAGTGTGAGTCTGTATACACGTACATTTGCATGACTGAAGCCCGGCGATGCGTTGTCGCTGATCGTACGAGAGATCGTACGATTTTTATAGTGTTTCGATTGGATATTACTTACCAATTCATGCCGCGCTGTACTTTCTCGCGTAACAAATTCTTTGGTTGTTGTGTGCACTTTTTTTTCTCTCTGTAGCTATTGCTGTTGTTTCGATCGTTTGTTCTATTGTTATTTGTGTCGTTGCTTAAATTAGTTTTGCCGATATAGTCACAAGCTAGTAACTTATCAATCATTTGCCTTTTTATTGTCGCTTGCTCTCCCTTCCAACTCTCTCTCTCTCCGCTTCACTTTAATTCTGATTTCAATTGAATTGAATTGAATTTAAATCAATGCACATTCATGAGTTTGGCAAAGAAAGCTCTCTCAAGAGGCATCCAAATGCACGCTCCAAAGCTTTTGAAATAGAATTTTACGGCAGCCTTGAGCTCTCATACGAACGATAATATCATACGAGAACAAAAAAAAGAAGAACGAACAAACCTAGGGCCAAAATAATTGAAATGCGAATATGTGTAACACACGTGCAACAACACGTTACTGACAAGTCACTTGTGATTCACAATTGAAAAGAATTTATGCGATCGTCATTTAATTATAGTATTTTTTTATGGCACATATGTTACAATTTTAACGCAATGGAACAATAAAAAATGGAGCGACCGCATTATGGTCGAATCGATTGCGGCTTGCTAGTCGAACGATAAATTTGCTGAGTGTGTGAATATTTTATCATGCTTTAAAACACTCATTTCGGCATATGTATTGTTGGCCGTTTTACGAAAAAAACATTCCTTTGTTATCACCTTTTTTTACGTATTTTGAGTATAAATAAATGATGAATAACAAACATTTTCTGATGATCTTCCTGAATCATCGTGCGGCGCACGATGTTTAAGACATAATTATTCAGTGTCACCACTTTTTCCGGAAATTTCGATGTCGTAAAATTTATCGTCATAAAAAAAAGGAGCAATAATGATAAAATAGAATTCACTCGAAGCAGTACGAATCACACACTCATTTTGGCTAACGTCATCTGCTGATTTGAGTCGTATATTTTGTTTTAAATCTTTTTACGGTATTTTTGTCTGCTGCTGCCAAATAAAAACCCACTTATTACGTGTTGACTTTTTGATTGAGTGTTTCGACCCTTTCAAAAAGTGTTTACGTATTATATAGATACCGGTGATCGTAGACAAGCAGACAGATCACATACACACTCAATGTAATGAAATTCAACTCTCCGCTCATTTATGGCATTTGTTTACGAAGAAATTACGGCCGCCGTCGATTCAAGAGAAATGCAAACGTGTGCTGATCTTTTTCGTAGAAAATTAACTGAAGCGCAGAAAATAGAAATTGCATCACAATGTCAGCAAACGAGTCTCAGCCGTATTTGGCCATCGCTGAAACTGGTCATACTTTGTCAATGATCTTTTGCATCACTTTTTTTTAGATGAATTTAAACTGTATGGGGTTTAAATTACCATTTCCATGCATAAACTTCTTTTTCATGAAAGAGTTTGACATAAGAAAAGTTCGGAAAGAGAAAAATTTAACTTAGGAACGACTAGAGTCGATTTTTTTTCCAATCTATTTTATAAAAATAGCCATTTATGCAAATTAATCATGAGTTTTTCTTTTTATCTTTGCATAGGGGTTCGTTGAGTTTATGGCAATTATCGAATGGTGAAACATTTCTGCAGATGATTTACTCGTATGCCGATGAAATAATGGATTGTGATTTCTTGACAGGTGTCAAGTATAATGAAGAGTTTGTACAAAATTTCTACAATGAAATTCAACGAATGAAACAATATAATCATATCGATGGTCTCAATGAGGAGATTTATCATATTCCAAGGTTTCGACATCGGTCGCGACACAATGTTCCAGAAATAGATTTGGCAATGGACAGTGATAATGAAATAATCGGGGCACGAAATCTTACCTATCAACCGCTATTCAATCGAAATGATATACCAAAGGATTTGCAACGTTTTATTAATTTCGATGAAATGAAAACGGAATGCGATGCATATCATAAGTCGATGACGCAAACTGTCAACGATTTAGATAGTGAGAGTGATGATGTTGTACAAAGTGCCACCGAACATTTAAACAGGTAATGATTTTGTTTTGTTTTACATTTGTTTGTATTGGTTTTTTCAAATCTAATCTACGCAATATTCCGCGCACATCACCTTCAACGATTCTGTGTGTGACTTTGAGAATGAAGAGCGCAATGAAAACATTGCGTGTGAGTTATAAAAGGTGAGTGCGTTGTCTATTGCTGAATCAAAATCGAACGACAATTCAATGACATAACACAAATTCATTGGAATACAATAAATCATATTTATCGCAAATGTTTTGTTTACGAGTGATGCCGAAATTTGCACATCATAAAACCGGTTTCACATTCCCAGAAGGAAGCGTATTTGTTCTGACCCACAATTCGAAATATTTTACATATTTCATCGCACTTATTTTTGCTCGTTATTTTGAGCGTCGGCGCGCGCGCGTGTTCGCAAACTCGTACGAGTTCATTCAATATATCGTACGATGAATAAACTTGCTTAATTGTTTGTTGCACGACACCGTATCGATGATGACTCGCAAAACAATCATTCATCCTTACATATATCGGAACGTAGATGAATCATCCTCAAGCGTCTTTTTGTGTTTTACTGTAGAAAATTGGCTTCCTCACGAATTTCACGATGCCTAAGTTTGGTTGCTCAGTTCTATACAGTGGGCAAAATACGGAATAAGTTTTCTTGCTCACACTACCATTTAAATCTTTCAGGCGGAAAAATGCTCTTCTGTCTGGATGCAGAGAATCGATTCGAGTGTTTTTACGCTTTTTTTACATTCTGCGCTCACTTTTCATTTCATTTCTTTTTGTTTTTTTTTCTTCATTTTCAAGCATTTACTTTATTTTTATTTGGTCTTTACTCACCTTTCACTTTATTTATAAGTATCAATCACGTTCGATTATCGTTTGATTTCAATTTCTTTTATCAGTTTGTTTTATTTTTTTATTTTTCTGTTTGTGTTTTCGTTTTTGTTTCTAGGAAAAAGCGAGCATTATCTGATTGGCTAATTGCACCGAACACAAAGTGGTGCGGTCGCGGACAAACGGCTGATAAATACAGTCAGCTGGGTGGTGCATCAAAGGCTGATAAATGCTGTCGTCGCCACGACCATTGCAAATTCAACATTTATGCGATGACCACGAAGTGGCGATTATTCAATTATCGACCATTCACAATTTCACATTGTAGTTGCGATATGAGGTTAGTCACACACAGATTGCCAATCAGCAAACGTTTTGTGCAAAAACTGAATTTCTAAATAGGTTTCGTGGCCAAAATCTTTGAGAAATTTAACTGATTCAGAAAATAATGATAATCGAAAAAGACAGGGTTAGGTTTTTCGATTTTTCAAAATTTCAATTGTTAAAATGCTTTTCAATCGTTTTATCGATGTCGATTTTCAAACAAATTTTTCGAGAAATTTGAATTTTAGGCGAATTCTTTTTAAGTTGACTATGTCAACATCTTCCGCACTTTCAGTGGGAAAAATAGAAAAAATCCCGAAAAAATCGAGACAAAAGAACGAAAAGGCGATGAAGAAGAAAAAAAAGGTTAAAATGATTGCAAAAATGATACAATTGAAAAATGACAAAACATATTCATCGATACGAAAAAAATATGATTTTTTGTATTCAAATGATTACGCGAAAAAAAACTCTGGCTTTTGCCAAAAGCTAAAACCAAATTGTCCGGAGAAAAAAAGAACATTGTATCAAACAAAGGCCATCAAATTGCAGACGTCGTCGGGATTTGACGAATCTGTTACTGGTGCCCGGCACTAAATGGTGTGGAAAAGGATATTCGGCAAAGAAATATGCTGAATTGGGTGGCCGCTCAAAGGCTGATCGATGCTGTCGACAGCATGATAAAGCGTGCCCATTTTGGATAATGGGCTTCGAAACAAAGTACGGATTGTTTAACTTTGGCGTGTCAACGATTATGCATTGCAAATGCGACGACAGGTACCCGTAGCTTCATGCTACAACCCATATTTTTATTGACGGCTTTTCCCTTTTGATTTCTTTACAATTTTTTTTTACTGGTTTCTGTAGAAATGGTGTGGTTTGTATTATGTTTTTGGTAGAATTTCGTGCTTTTTCCGGTAAAAGAAAACAGCAGCGTTACAATTGCATGAGAAAAAAAAAATTCAAAATCAAGTGCCGTTAGCAAATATTTTTGCACTTAGTTCATTTTAATACCATTCAAGTGTATTTGTCCAAAGTAAATCATATTTACATTGGAATAGTCTTTTCGCTTTCAACTTACTGCTTCGTTCGACTCGAATGATTTCTCCTTGTTCGGTTTATCCCATCGAATAAATCAAGAGAAACACCATTAAACCACCAAGAACAAACGGATTTGAGTGTACTAATGCAATCGGATTAAGGAAAACTAAACACAAGCAAAAGAAGTGGATTTCTTTTGACAAAACTTACATCTAATCTGAAAATCGTCTGATTCAGCGAATTGAATTGTGTTTAAACAAATAGAATTGAATATGCAGAAGAAAAAAAATTCCCTGTAGTTGAATATGTGATTCCAAGGTCTGTGCTCGCCGTTCAAAAGAGGTTCATACATTTTGCGATTAAAGCGGATAAATATGCAATAATGTGGAAGTAAAGAAAGAAACTGGATATAATCGAGATTTAACTATTGCCGCTGAAATATGAACAACAGTCGCATTCGACTTCCTTGGATGCAATCGAGTGGCAAATGCCTTTGATCATTTTGCCCGAATCGTGTGTGATTGGGATTTGCTGAAACAGCAAAATTCTCGTGCATAACAGGCAATAGCCAGCTCGTGCATATCGATGGTTAACGGTGAAAAATCGTATTCTCATTACATGGGAAGGGGTGGCATGAGCAAAAATAATCAATGTACTCGCACGAAACGTTCCACTACGAAGGGGAAAATGATTGTTTCGTTGGTGTACAATGCCATTTATTAAATAAAATGATTACATGTGATTAATACAAATGTGATTCAGATTTCGGGGTATTTTCTCATTATTTTCTGGCTGCGTTCAGATGAGCAGCTGATTTGAATCATTACGTTTTTTTCTTTCTTGGGATTTCATGCACGTTATCAATGCGAATTTATCGGAAGAGCAACGTACATGATTTATAGTTAATGACGAATATTTGTCTGCGGATTCTTTTTCTCGGGATTCGATTAATTTGAGCCCACAGATGAAAATATCTACAACTTTGCATGGAAGAACAGAATTTCTATTTATCGTTCAGGACTTCCTTTCAGTGCTGATCACTCTGGTTAACACCAATTATTTGAATGTTGTTAGAAACTAGTATTTTATGGCAAAATTTCTTTGAACAAAATTCCAAAGCCAAATTCATTTGATTTCAAGCGTTTCATATACGAAACTTTTTTTATAAGTAATGCTCCTTCTTCTGCTTCTGCTTCTTTGAAGGAATGTAACTTTTAAAGACAGTAAAGAGACATTCAATGTATTTTGAAAGAAAATTACAGTAAATTTATTGTAAATGGTTCCTTCGTCTGTTGTATAATAATGAAAATGTTCATACTTGCCTAGTAAAAAGAATTGCAAAGCGTTGAAATTCGGTATAATCGATATATATATTTGGTCAAAATGCCATTTACAAATTCCGAATATCATCCAATGTTAAGAAGAATCGTAATCATTCCCAAGAAGATGCCAAAAATTTAAGTAGTAGATAATGATTTCGTAAGCTGATTTCGTGGGAAAACTCTTGATTGCTACAGAATTAAATGTTATTAACGTTAGCAATAGAATAACGGTTTATGTCAGAAAAAGAAGTTTCTTTTTGCATTTTCCAGATAGAGAATCAATGTCAGATGATTACCATCGAAAATGCACATTTCGTAAAGTGATTTTCGCGTTTAATTCGCCAATTAAATGGTCCGAAGAATTTTCCCAATAATCTACAACAAACCAAAATAAACCAGTTAAATTCATTCGTAAAAATACCAATCGCATCAATCGCATCAATTCGTAAATGATGAACGACTGTGTAGTGTAATTTGTCGTAATCACAATGTATATGATTCGTATATATTGACCTGGCTTCAAGAATTACGTGTTTCATTTGAACAAAAACAACAGCTGCTGCAAGAAAAGAATGTTGTATTTCACTTGTCTCAATTAAAAGAACCGGCGCAAAATGAAAACAGGCAGTAATTAAAAGTGTTAGTTTTGAATGAGTGGCGTGTTATTAGCGTAAATTACGTACGTATGTCGAATGATCTGAATGAAAGACAGTACGCTTGATTTGATTGGGGTCCATTTCAAATGAAAACTGTCAGCCGATTAACGTCATTCATGTTATTTTGCGTATTAAACATTAAAAAAAAAACCTTTTTTTTCTCGCTCGGTATCTTATTAAATGTAGATATAATAACAAACGCCGACTACGACGTAATATATAACTACACGCAACATTTGTTTTTACCAAGTGCAAAACAAAACAATTTTCGTTGTTGTTTGTCAATGATACAATTCTACAATCATCTTTTGATGGCGAAACAATCATTTAATGACTTTGTGCGGATCGTGCCCCTTTTTTCTGTGTCTCTGACAAACACGCGACACACACACATGAGATGATTCAAATGAATAAACAAACAGTGCTTGATGTGCGTGCAGAAGAATTTCGGCTGGCAATTGTGTGAGCGATCATGAGCAAATCAAATGCATCATCCGAAAATCGGATGTTAAACGTGTATACGACACGATTATATTTTCTCTTTTTCTTTGCTCCTCCAATCCTCCATTCCTGTCTTATAACACGGGAAATGAACACAACAAAAAAGCAATCGTCCTTTCAGCATACGTAGAAAAAGGGCAAAAAGATGAATACAAAGGGAGTGCAGAGAGAGAGAGAGAGAGAGAGAGAGGGAGAGAAGAGAGAAAAGGTTTGATATGCTCAAGGAATATGGATGCGTCTCAATGGCACATCCCCCCACTAGCAAAAGTGTTGGGCGCACGAGAACAACATCAACAAACGAACGCGCCTGCAAATGTTTATTCGATGGCAATGACTTTTTGCAAAAATTATTGTTCATTCGATGTCGCTTTATCTTCACACATCGTTGCGCACACCATTCCCGATTTCAATATTTATATTCGACAAAACGAACGCACAAATACACCAGAATATTACAACTATGACAATAACAATAACGATCCAGAAGAATAGGATGTGTATGTGTGTGTTTTTTCGCATCATTCTTATTTGTACATCGGCAACAACACTTTTCGCGCTGTTTTTTTTTCAATTTATTTGATTCCAACGTCGCACTTCAATTTCGCCATGCAACATTTATGGGATTTTTCAGGCGATTTAATGATGTTTCAAGTCACATTTCTTTTCGATCAGAGATCTATTGAATTAAATGGGTGTGAAAATTTATTAAGAAATCTCAGAAATTATTCCGAATCAACAAGAGAAACAAATAAAGAAAAACAGAAATGGACAACGGAAAAGAAGTAACATTTAGATTTTTGAACTATTTTGTTGATTTTTATTATATTTTCTATGGATTTGACAATATTTAGAGAACTTCTTTTGATTTCTCCCATATTTTTCAAATTGTCTTCCTACTGCTCAGCTGCTGTTTTCAACTTTTGTTTTTTCAGAGATAAATATTGGCCACGTAGCTTTGAATGTAGTCATTTAGTTGTTTTTTCAATTATTTTTCTGTGTGTTTAAAGACCTAATAAAATCTTCTTTTTTTTTCTTTCAAATGACTAATAATTTCTTTTTTTGTTCCATGTGCAGATTTCGAACGTGTTTGAAAATGGCCGATTCCGCCGATGCGACGATGGTTGGAAAGCTGTTCTTCAATATTGTGCAAACAAAGTGTTTCGTCTTGAAACCGGAAAAATACTGCAAATCGCATTCGTGGTGGGGTGCATGCGAGAGTGAGGGTACACGCAAACGAGCCCATTTACGGAATAACAAAAAATTCTAGACAGCACCAATGCCGAATCAAAATAAAACAAGTATTTTTTAACTATTAAAAGAAAAGAGAGAATATGTTCAGCGTCAAGCAGAAATCACTATTTATAAATGACCTCATCGAACTGTTAATTGTCCAAGCGAATTTGAATTCAATGTGTTTTTTTAGAGTGTATATTATATTTCAAAGTTCATTAAATTATTGCATTTGTTTTTACGCTGCATCATTGACATAGATCACTCACGCCAAACCTCACATCGGCTATGTATGTTTTTCAGTTCAAACCAAAAAGAGAAGAAGAAAAAAAACTAAGACACATGTTGAAAAAAAGGCAATGTACAAGTTTTACACAGTTTGTTAACATTTTCGCGTATTGGCAGATTAGTTAAACACAACCAATACGCAATGAAGATCACTACCTGTTCAAAAAACAGACAAAATACTATGTAAAAAAATGATATTTTTAATTTTTTTTTAGTTTAGAACTTGAATTTATTTGTTAAGGAAACAATCTCATAGAAATCGATAGCAATGCAAATAAAATATGAAAAAAAATCGTAGCAACCAAAATGTGTTTTTCTTTGATTTTGATGATTGACATTTTCAGAATTCTCATTATTGATTTTGAATATTGATTATTATTGAATTTTTGTAGAAGGAGCATTCAATCGCAACATTTTCGTCAATATCTACAAATAACTCAAATTCTACATTGATCACGTAAGTTATATGATTAAATTTGACTACTCTCAATTGCGAAACGTTGTATAGTCCTTGGTTGTATAAAGCGTTTACAATTAAAATAAGATCAAGTATAAATTCACCCAAAGAAATGAGTTTTTGCTTAAAAAATGCAAACAAATTGGTAAACAATGAAGTCGTGCCATTTTCACTGTTGAAATGATTGTAAGTTTGCATCCGTTTTTATAAGGTAATGTTCCCTTAAACGGGACGCACTTCGACATGGTTTTTTTATCTTTGAATAGTGGAAATATTCTCGAGAATGTGATATACAGTTGGAAAGAGGATGAGCAAAGGAACCTTTTTGCCTTGGACAGTTTTTTTATTTACATTACAAAAAAAAAATTATCGCAAAATTTCCGACCATGACGAAAATCGGAAAAAAAAATTTTGTCTCCTTAAATGGGACACTCCGAAAAACTGAAAAATAAGCGTGAAAATGAAACAATAAGATCATATTTTAAATGTTTATTCATTGTTTATTCATTTAATCGACTTTCGGATTAAAATAAGTGACATCATTACTTAGTAATGATGTTTATTCGTCGCTTTCTTGATCTACGACTTCATTTTATAGTTAAGCCCATCTGGGCACACCTACACTTTATTGACAGTAGCCAAAATTGATTTATTTTTCTATGGTGTAGCTGGGGTCGAGTATGTTTCAAATATATGCCAATTTTTTCCGCACCCCACTGTGTATCCAAAAAAGGGCGACCATGAAAATCAGGGTATTGACACCAAAGGTCATATCTCCCCAGCCATGGGAGGGAGGGCACTGCTCCTTGGGTCAAAATTGTAATACTCGTGAATACCTATCCAACGGTATACATTACATTTACATTTGTTTACATTATGTCTGAAAAACCGGTACAAGAAAAAAATTAAATTTTCGGGTCAAAAAGTAATTTTATCCTCGTTTTCTGGGCCAATGGGTGGATTTATCGTTAAAGTGTGTTCGTGAAAGTTGTAGAGCGACTCACGACGAACAACTTTGCTGTAGACCATTTTGCCCTATCTTGCCCCCATCTTGCTTAACTTAAAAATGCAGAGTGTCCCGTTAAAGGGAACATCGCTGTCCCATTTAAGGAAAAAGCCGACATTTTTGCGGGTCACCAAAAAAAAAATTTTATGACGCGATATCGAAAAATGGACTTTGCAGCTTTGAAATAGACACAATTTACTAACTATTCAATATATTTACCTTCAACAAATGTTAAAAACACTTCAAACTGTGGGTGTAGGCGAATTGATCAAAAAAGTTTTGTTGTACACAAATTTCACGACACAATTTTTTCTCACACACGCGGTACGTCTATTCTCTTCGGAATACTACCAAAAGTGAGCGTTTGTTGAGCTAATCGTTTGGTATAAATGACATCTCGCTGTCAAACTCAGAAGTCAAAAATACTTGACTGTCCCGTTTAAGGGAGCGTCCCGTTTAAGGGAACATTACCTTACCTAAGTTAGTTATATTGGGTTTGTGGGTTTCCCGTGTGAAAAAAAATGACTGACTATAACTTCAGTTGACTTTGGTTCATTGAATTTATGTTTTTGTTCTAAGAAAATCACTTTGTCTCGAATTAAGCAACTTAGATTGACTTGTAATTCCAAATGATTTCAGTTAACTATAATAGACTTACACTACACTTTGTACTGAAATGTCAATCAAAGTAAGTCATTTTTGTCCGAAATCAGTTACAATATTTGCAAACGGGATTATCAAATGGATAGAAAAATAACAAATTTATTCAATCAACTTTCTACCTCTTCGTATTAATTTCTATTGAAAAATTATACGACATTGGAACAACTTTCGCTGTACGTAATTAGATTTGGTAATGTTTCTGGCTATTAATCAAAATAACAAATAATTATACTTTTTATGGTATTTTGGATAGAGATGAACTCATTTTCTTCATATTGTTCACTATTATTTCAGTGGAATTCGGTCTTAACCGAACATTATTTCTTGGCTGAAAACTTATTTCAAAATTAAATCTTTGTAGCGTTAGATGACTGCGGTGAACTACCACCTTCATAGGGACTGGTAGCTGGAGTAAATGAGATTTTTTTTGGAATGGGACACGTTTTCGATCGACCGAGCCAGGCATGTTCTAATTCTCTATTCACCGGACATTGATCGGCCAGCTCACAAGTTGACGTCGACTGACACCAGCCGCAATTGTATATTTCTGGTAATGCAAGACACGTTCCACAACTATCACTCATATAACGGCATCGATAAATCACCACTGGATGTTGGAAGAAATAACATTAGATTTTTTCAATCTATAAATATGATCAGGATTGTTGTTTTTTTTATTCCCATATAGCATGCAAAATAATCGTTCTTTTTCTCGAATTAAATTATCATGAATGTTATCTGGATTATCAAGTGGCTTTGATCTACTCCATATAACCGCAAATGTTGCAGTTAGATTCGGTGATTTTGATGTATAAACGAATTGCATGGGGTCACAGTAGATCGTGCCACCCAATAATTGTGCATTCACATTAGTCACTTGCCCTTCAATATTGAACTGACACTGGAATCGAATTTGAACAATAAACTGTCCAATGATATACGCTTCAACTTTAAAGGATTTCTTTGCACCAAATGCTACCAAAATTTCATTTTCACAGCTGTTTGACTGGATTTTCGGACAAAAACTAGGACCCGATCGATGGCTTGAGACATTTCTCTGTAGAAAATTTTGAAATTGTTCATTGAATTGCATTCAATTTGAATAAAGATTATGGAAGAATCAGCAAAATATTTCGGATACTTACACTAATACCCGTTACTAAAATATCGTTTGGACAATTTTCATCAAAAGTATCATGCATGCAGCGATACGCTTTGACACACCAATCGCACGGAAATTGTGATGAAACACACTGTGTACAGGACGAATACGATGAACAATCGAAGAACGTGACTGATGTTGCTGCCAAATCAGGCCCGTTCATTGTACGCACCGATAGTTTGGCGGTTAAATGATCTAAAGACAACGGTTTCTCAGGAATTTTAAATTCATTACCGTTCATTTCGGTTTTCATACAGTGAGTATGCTTACGTTTACCGGGAAGGATTTGTAGAAGAAGATCCGAGCGTGGAGTGGTGCAGTTGACACCATATTGTTTTTTAGTTGCGTTTGTATAAATGGTTGGTTTGTCAGCAATGGTAAATGCACACACCAGACTCTCTTTCAGCAATGGCATTTGGTCGATGGTCAATTCAAGCTTTTCAGGAATGAAAACATAGTTTAGTTAAGTCTAAAATTTCGTGTTTTCATTCAAAAATCAACATCTTTTCAACATAAAACCGTTCTTGAAATGATTCAACTAAACTTAACGTTCGAGTGGTGGTGATTGGAAGTTGATGTGGCACAGCACTAGTGATTGTCGCACCTTTGCCAATTTCTCCATTTACATGATAATAAACAAATGCAAAAACTGAAAAAAGCAATGGAAAACCGTAATTTTTTTTCATTTTTTTTCTTTCTTCACACAAAGCAAAGCAGCAGATTTTTGTGATTGATGTGTTTGACATCAATTCGAAACTTAAACTGAAAACGAATAATAAAACGATATCCATATGTCCATCTTTGCTTTATTACGTCACAGGAAATGTGATGCTGGTCGCAATTATGATTAATTTTTCTAGTGTCTGAGCATTTGTATTCCTTCAATCTTTCTATATGTCGCTCGATTCGTCATTTTATTTACATCAATTGGTGAATTGGTGATGATTTTGGTTTAACGAGCATGATAACAAAGTAGAAAAAAAATATATCATGAAATTTCGGGTTGATGGCACGGATGCTGCCAGTGCGTTATGAATATTAAGCCGCTAAGAAAGAAAATTCTCAAAAGTGAATCTTGAATGAGCGCTGTGTTGAAGCGAATCATGAATAATACCGATACCCATGGTTCACTGCTGCTGCGCAAACATTCATGATTCACTTTTGCGTGTTTGCTGTTTTATGTTTCGTTTCAGAATGTTTATTCCTGTATTGCCATTTTCATTCTCACAGCCTCATATGTATTTGCATGAGATTTAGATCTCATCAATCGAATTTAATTGCATACAGCGTAGAACTTCCTATTTCGCTCAATTAATGATTCATGGTAATGAATGCATTATTCCATTCAACTGCTTGCCGTTCGCAATCATTTATAGATTCATATTTAGCAACAGTTTAAAAGAATGTAAACGTTTTTAGATAAAACAAATAGCGTCAATAAGTCGTTAATGACTGCAACAATGTAATTATCTCTGTTTACTACTTGCGATGGATGTTCTATACTTGAATTGTGCGCAACAAGTTCAAATTCATTGAGTGCTTTTCATTGAAAGCGTCGTCATTTGCAATAGTTGCAGAAGATGGCGCTCAGGCGAACTTTCAAGTAGTTGATACCAAATAAAGTGGTCAATAATTCAAGAAAAAGTAAAATCTCGCTGAAAACCACTACGTATTGTCTCAGATACTCGATGGATCTTCGCAATTTCAAGTTTTGTATCGGACTAATCTATGGTTCTATTCTTTTTTTCCATCATTGTTCCATGAAATTCGTAATATTAAGACATTTTGCGTATAAGTACCAAAAACATTACAGTCAAGCAAATAAAGCTTTCTGATTGCGTAATAAAACCCGATGAATGTATGAAATGACATAAATGATTACACTTGTGAACAATTCGAAAAATGTTGAAAAAATGTTTCATTTGAATATAAATGTAAAAATATTTAGTTTATCAATATAACACGCGCGATTCATTTGTGTATTTTGTAACAATATATTCGCATACTTCTACCAAGATGCGA